ATAGATAGATAGATAGATAGATAGATAGATAGATAGATAGATAGATAAAGCCATGACATGTTTATGCTATGAAGAGGTGCAAGCAGGGAAAGACTTTGTTGGGTAGCTATTGTTATCCTTTATTTTGTCAAACAGACAGAAGAAAGGATAGAACAGATAGGTTATTGCTGAGAAATACAGGCAGTCTTCAACACAACTATTCATTTAGCAACCATTCAAAGTTACAACAGCAGAGCAAGAAGTGACTTATGACTGGTCCTCACACTTATGATTATCACAGCATCTCCATAGTCACACAATCAAAATTTGAGTGCGTGGCATGTAGCAGTTGCAGTGTTCTGGGATCAAATGATTGCCATTTGTAACCTTCCCAGCTGGCTTCCAAAAAGCAAAGTCAAGAGGGGAAGCTGGATTTATTTAACGACTGCAGTGATTCAATTAACTATGGCAAAAAATGTCATAAAATCAGGCACAACTTAACAACTACTTTGCTTAACAGTGGAAATTCTTCTCCCAATTGTTATAAGTCAAGGACTATCTATAGAAGATCAATGAGACAGATTTAGGGAGAATATTTAGAAACTTTTTTTTCTTTCTTTCTTTGATACTATTTTTATAAAATTTTATTAAGATAGACTTGGTATGACTTTATGATTTGTTATAAAATAAATTAAGTAAATTATAGTTATCTCGTTAAAGTATGAATTAATAAAATTATAGTCAAATGATTGTTTAATAATGATATCAGGCTATATAATTGTTGATTGATGATATGAGTTATTATTTAACACAATTACAATGGAGACCAAGAAATGGATGCACAAAAAAAAGTGGTAAACCAACCGATACACTGTCTGTAAATTTATGAAGGAGGATGATGCTTTTATGTTTTATGTGCTTTTGTTTGTTGTTAAAATCAATAAAACTTTTTGTTCAAAGAGACAGATTTAGGGAGACTGACCCAAATGGAAAATATTTCCTTTAATGAGGAATACTGACTTATTCATAGAAGGTAACTTTGTCATTGGAATTATATGCATGAGTTGATAAACTATTTCATTATTATGTTTTAGATCAGACATTCTAATTTACCTCCACAGCTACCAGCTAAGGCACATTCTAAGGCAGGATAGAGGGATAAAACATACAGCAAGTTTTGAATTACAACACCATTGAACTGATTCTTTCCTACTTTTGCTCAGCAGTTTTTTTAATCACACTTGAGAACATATTTAAAATTAGATAAAGAAAATAATGCCAACAATGAACCAAATGACAGCATATGTACATTTACTTCCGAGTTATTCATGAGGTATTCCCAAATAACATTTTCAATTTTTGCAAGAACATCAAATATTTTCACACAATTAGATCAATGTATTATCTCATTTTTTTGCAAAATCATGGTACTTATATATATACAGATGAAAATGAGATATATCAAGAAAGCTTTGAATATATATTTGAATAGTACAAAGAATCAAGAGCTAAAAGCGAGTTAACAGAAGAAGAACCAATATTCTTTTCATATATCCCTAAACTCTCAGAAATAATGAGGTATAGAACAGTCTTTTTCAACATGTGCCCATCAGATGTATTGGACTACATCTCTCATTGTCTGCAGTCAATCTGGCACACTGACTGAGGAAAACCAGAGTAGTCCTGGAGGATATTAGATGGGAGAAAGTTATATTTTCTAGTCTTACACTTCAGGGTTTTTTTGTCCAATAGCACTGGCTGGGGAAAATCCAAGTATGTGTATTGTACAACAAAATGTGTAGATAACAAAACCTGCATGAATAAAAAAACTTATAAGGCAGTTTTTTATGTTTAAGCGTAGAGTATAACCATACCCATTACTTTCTTCACATCTAAACAAAGAGTTCCAGCACAATATCATGAAGGTATCAGAAAAAAACATCGTACTCTTTTTTCCCTCATTTTGGCCTTATTGCACAACAATCTGCCCTGAAAGTATATAAATGAAGAAAATTTATAGACCCCAAACATTGTTAGATTTTCATCTATCATATCGCGAGAGGGAGAGTATTCTAATTAGTAGGTTGCAAGAAGCCAACTCTTAGCTGTAATCTTATCACCAATCTAAACTATCTAAATATCATTGATTTGGATCTCTTGAAAATATTCCTTTTAATGAGGAATACTGACTTATTCATAGAAGGTAACTTTGTTATTGGAATTATATGTCCTTGCTTGAAAAGATGGATGTGAAAAAAGAGATGACCACCAACAAGGTCGATGGTCTCAATTACTGAAGAATG